ACAACCTTTTCTTAGAAATAATTTGTGGTCCAAATCTCAATATACCTGGTTTTTAATTCTCGGTGCAAACTGGTTACACTTTTATTTATCACGTTTCGGGATTCGGGTCTGTTTTTCATTAAAAGTGGTGCTGGAGTTGGAAACGGCCGTCATTGCCGAATAAAGGAGCGGGGTGGAGTTGGTTCGTTAACCTCTCCGTCTTCTTCTAATTCAATTACTTCAGTTCCACAGTCGGCCGCACACTTCTGGATTTCACCGCAAGTCTCCCTCTTTTCCCGAATCCTCATTTCAACCGGGACCACTCACGTTGATGCTCTGGGAAACAAATAGCAGGCAGAATCCGAATCGCAAAATAGAGCTCGCAATCGCCGATTTGAGAGGAAATACAACGCTCCTTTTCAACCCTTTTCACCATCGGAACGCTATAACTAATGAGTACGGTGTTGTACCCAACACAAACTCACTACCTTTCTAGACTACATTACGAAATAAAACCTGCGAAAATGTGTTCTATTTTAACAAAGCTCCCGTAAAACTGTAAATATTTTGGCATTAAAAATGTGTGTATGTGTGTGCACATATTATATATATATATCNTATATGGGTGTACCCAACATTTTCTCTTTTTTACTTCCGTGAACGACCGGTAAACATTAATGACATCCTCCTCTGTAAAGCTCATGATTGCAAATGCGTAAAAAGGTACTACATTCTGCTACTTCTCTTATTACTAATATTAATAATAATGTTTTATTTAACTATGAAGAAATACAATACCAAAAAAAGGATATTAACATTAATAATAACTCCATTATATTTCGTAGTCCCATTGACAAACATTTTCTTTCTCAAAAACACTTTCATTAGAAGGTATAATCGACAACACGTCAAAGGAATTGGTTCATATTTTTGGTCTTTTCCACCTTCGCAGTTTTTGTAATATATATTTTGTTCATTAGTTGTAAGTAATTAATCCCCCCACGAGCGGTATTCGAACTCACGCTATTCGGCTAAATGCGCTGCTGCTCTACCAGTAGAGCTATCGTGACTTCGATCCACTCGGAAACCAAATTCCCACTTCAACCTACCTTTCGAATTTTCCCTGACCTTATTTCTTTCAATTAATTAATCTTTTTTGTAAGGTTTTGTTTGAAATGAAAATAAAACGTCTCACGAGCAGGATTCAAACCCACGACCTCCCGCTCGTGACACTGACGTTTTCATTTCAACCAATGTCTTACATTTAATCTTTATGTAAGGTAAGATTAATTAATTGAAATAAGTTTTTTGGTGAATCGGACCATGAAATACGATGGATTTAATACGTAAAACGAAGTATATGTTCACTAAAGCTCCCCGTGGCCATTTCATTTGTCGCTGAGAATCAAATACTTATTAGAAGACATTTGAAAAAGGGCAAAAAGGAGGGAAAATTCGAAAGGTAGGTTGAAGTGGGAATTTGGTTTCCGAGCGGATTGAAGTCACGATAGCTCAAGTGGTAGAGCAGTGGCGTATTTAGCCGAATGTCGTGAGTTCGAATCCTGCTCGTCACGCTGACTTATTCATTGCAACCAATGCCTTACTTAAAGATTAATTAATTGAAAGAAATTAATAATAAAAATAAACTGGAGTCCGTCTGTCGAGTTGACATATAAAAATAATTACCAAGTACAGAAGTAAATATATTAGGTATATTGTTTTTTAATAAAATGAAAATTAATTAAAATTAAATTCATTCACCAAAAAATTTTCTGTATTTCAAAGCAGTAATTGGATATGAAGAAAAATCATCGCAATTGTCTCGATTTAAAATGGCTAAACCTGATGAACAAAGGTAACCTTAATTTTGCTTCCAGGGTTGATAATTAAAATTTATCGTTTCTCTTCTTAATTTAAAAACTAAGCTACCCTTATTTATAATGAAATGGTTGTTGTAATCTAGACCAGCCAAACTGTTTGTACTACAGGATGAATCTTGCTGAGGATAAATTTCCCAATAATCTGTCCCTTTTCATCAACTTGAGCTTCTCCAAAAATGTTACAGCGAGGTCACTAATACAGTAGTCAATCTGTTTAAATTCATTGGGATTTCTAGTTCCTCCGCTCTTTCCAACCAGACCTTAATCCAACCACTATTTAGCCTTAAACTTTCGTGAGTAATTTAATTAGCCAGCTTGTTATGATCATTGAATTTGCCATTAAAGTTGAAATGTAATTTCAACGTAAAAAGAAATAAATTTGACCTATTATTTTCTAATTAGATTGCATAATTGGGCTTATTTTTGGGAAGGGATAATATTCTGTTCGCAGCGAACCGTTGAAATGTTTCTAAATCTATATATTCTCTACATCCCCCAATTTGCAATGCTTAGCTTGCCTACTTCTATTAAAACCTAATTTGGCTAGTTTTATTTTTTCCAAAAAATAAATCGTGAAATTTAGCTGTGTGATTAATGAAACCCCCAAATATTTATGTTACAACTATTTATAAGCTTTCGTTTTTTCATTTTTTTTTTTTCATTTGGTCGTAACTTACATTTATTGTATTTAAATATCATAATTTTTGAATTGGCGGTATAAACTTTAAGAGTCTAGGTGTTACAATACATTAATACACAATACATAAATCTTCTATCATTGTTTTTAACGCCAAAGAAGAGGCTCACATCATCAGCATACATAACAAAACGTACTATGGTATGCATAGTATCGCTTGTCACTTCGCTCCAGTGGGCGAGAGAGTGTTGCGGCGATAAAAGTCGTTTCGTGCTATGAAAGATCGGTTTATGTTGCATCTCTAACGCATCGCTCCATTGAGCACCAGGTTTTTATTGAACTTTAATTAGCTTTGTATATCCAAATAGTTTTGTTTCAGAACATATTAGTTTTTAGTTGTATTGTGTGGTGATTAGTCGAAATTAGTCGAAGATTACTCAGAAATCGTCAAATGCGATATGGTGTGCTGCAGGTTTCAGAAAAAACATTTTCTTTGTCGTGCCAACGTTTCGATATTTATTGAGATCATCTTCAGGGCAAGAATGGCACAATTACACAGAAAACAAACACTTTGAGTGAGTAGAAATACATTGAATGAATATAAAAAATATATTTTGCATTTTGCATTGTATAAATTCACTTTTCCACAACCTACATGTATTTGTTAAATTTAAACAATGTTTTTAAATCCCAGGTCCTGAAGATGATCTCAATAAAGACGTTGGCACGATAAAGAAAATGTTTTTCTGAAACCTACTGGGTCCCACCAAACCGCATCTCACGATTTCTGAGTAATTTTAATTGTATTGTTTTTCGCAAAATGGCTACTCTTGGAGATATTACCAACGTTCCAAAAATATCTCCTGATATCCAATCAAGATCATCAAAACTACATTTCGTTGTTTTTAGAAATTATTCAGAAATCTTGCGATTTCTGAATAATTATCGATTAACGGTCACTAACCACCACACGTTTTTAGAAATAAAAAGTGAACCCAGGAAACAGAGAAAATCACTTCAATTTTTTCGAGCCTTAAATTTGGAAAAGACTGTGAAGAATGGGTGTTTCCAAAAAAGAAGAGTTTGCAAATTAAGCTGTCTGATTTTATTGCAATCTGTCAATAAATTACAACGCTTTTTATAAAAACATTTTTATTTTAAGTGTTGTATTAAATATTTTACACGAATGCTACATTATCTGAGCCAGAGAGGTGTCTTAATAAAATATAATTCTAGAGTAATTTTTATGACAATGACTACAACGTGTATAATGAATCGGTGACCTGTATAATTACAGCGTTGCGTCTAATATGATGGCCAGGAGGCTAAATTACCAACATGGATTTAGCACCGCTGGTAATTTATTATGGTGATTAATCTAACGCAACAGAATGACAAACGCTTTAATTTAAACGGCGGAAACATTGCTACTTTTAAGCCCAATGATAAAAGTTTTAACGGTAATTTAAAACCGCATCAAGCCTAGCAAATATTTCGTTACAGGCACACTTTTATTAACCTGTTATCCTTACCCATTGTGGTAGTTTACATCATGGAGATACTAATTTCTCCTAGCATTGCAGCTTGCACCACCAAACGTAGTGGACAGAATACTGACGTGGACAGAACACCGACTTGAATAATTAAACACTGACATCCGGAGATCACACTCACTACTCTTCGATCAAGAAAATTTGGTCGTATGAGCTTTAGAAAAAGCATATTGGAAAACAACTGTTAGTTCAGAAATAAAAGAAAGAGAAATGGAAAAAAGAAACAATTGGTCGGTTGTGAACGGTACAGATCGAGAGGAAGAGAAATAGGAAAAGAATAATGAATGAACGCTTTATTTATTTATAACGCGAGGTTCCCTCGCTCGAAACTCTTTCGCTCTTAATATTAAGAACGCAATGAAAAATTGAATTTAATATTTTATTTGCTTAATTTATAATTCCTTCTATAATAATCGAAGTATCGCGGTAATAACGATAAAGATAACGACGAGCATAAATTATTTCTCTATCTAAAAAGCGACGAAACCAAGAATGACCGATGAATCTTTTTTAGAGCTGAATCCATTAATATAGAATAAGTTCAGAATTCCAACTTTAAGTAATATTATAATGTATTTAATAAACACATAACTTAATAAATATGTATAACGATGAATTAGATTACGGACCTGCTGGATACAAAAAGTCTTTTCAGAGGATCTTCACAGAAGTACATTATGTTTTTTTTACTGTAATTTTAGCTATAATTTTTAATTGTTAATGTATTCCATTTAAATCAATATTTAGATGCTGAGCCGAAAAAAACATAATGTACTTCTGTGCCCAAAACACCATGTTGTTTAATTTCCTATTAAGGTTTTAAAGTAAGATATCCAATTATTGTTGTAATTATTGTTTTTTCATGATTTAATTGTTTGTTTATATGATAATAAAACAGGCCCTGAAGATGACAGTATAAAACTGTCGAAAGCTCGGCGAAAACCGTAAGGAAGTTTTCTCTGTTTTGACCTCTTCCGAAGATCCTCTGAAAAAAATATGTATAATTAAAAACAGTGGAGGTACCGCAATATTCGATATCTTATTTGAAGACTAGTCTACGACCTGACCCATGCTACTACCTCCGATTAGTGACATGCGATGCCAGAAAATATTCGATATCAGTACTCGATACAACTCAAGTATCTACAGAAATTAGTCGATACTAACGAATACTTACTCATATGAGTAGTTTTTTATTTATTCATAAATGATCAACTTACTATTGTGGACTTTGGTTAAAATACGCTCATGCCTTAAAAAATTAAGAAATTTCAGTTTTGTATTTTTTTCATTTTTAAGTATTTTTTCATACAGTGGGTACAAGGAAACAGTACAAGGAAAAGCTGCCAAAACATGTCAACATAATTGATAATTCAATTTTATCTTTATCGATTTTTGAGAAAATTGATCAACGGGTGTTTGGTTTTCAAATGTTTGACAATATAAGAGGTATTATGATTAGGTATCTACCTACGAGAAGGAAGGTGAACACATCTTAGGAACTTGAAGAGAAAAACATTTTATAAGAAATTACTGAAATTGAAAGTGCGAGGTGCGACGCGGGAAAGAATAATGAGTAATCAGAATTATCAGTAGAGTTACCAACCTAAAAATTTATGTTGACACATGCCACTAGTAGGTGCTCTTATCAGTAACTAGTCAATTCTCAGTTTGATGAAATGTATGTTTCTTACGGTAAATAACAATTCATTATTACTTGAACACTCGACGAAAAATCTATTTGAGTATATTTTCCGATACGACAATAACTATTCGATACAGTACTTGTATCGAAAGATAATGTCGATACCAGAAGTACTCGATACCGAAAAAAATACTCTATACGTTACTCATATCGATTGGTTTCGCACGTCACTACCTCTGCTCTGCTGGCAACCTACTAGAACAAGAAGACCACCTTTGTTGTCTTTGTTGACCTAATTAAACCAACTGTTGTAGTACTTTTTACAAATATTTTAAATTAATTTTTACACCCATGTATTATATGTAATATGGGGCGTGCTAAACATAAAGTCCCTCTCAGTATGGGGAAAAATAAAAATTCAAACTTTTCTGCTCAGAAAAAAACACTAATACACACACTAAATAATTATTAAATCGATAAAAAATTAAATTATCGACTACGTAGAAATAACCGAAGCAATACCTTTTCAAAGTCCATTATGCGCCAGTGTAAATTTTTTATACATTATTTATCTCCAAATGCTGTCAGCAGTGAGAATGATGCAGAGGTGCAAACATATCGAGCAGCGGAGCTGCCGCGAGACCTCCTTACTAAAATATAAATCAATGCCCTATACGTGCTCGTACATAAAAGCAAAATGTACACAACAAACAATTTTGAAATTGCTTTAAAAATGTCAAGATATATCATTGATACATATACAAAAAGTTATTGTACGATTTAATAAGTTATAAATTGAGGAAACCACGGTTAAACGCAACTTTTCTTATACATTTTCCATTTAATGGCAGTCTGCTGTATATTAGCGCCTATTGGCTAAGCCATTTGATCAAAAATTTCTTTCTCTAGATTATGATCAAGCGCCGTTTAATGGCACCAGTTGGTCTACCTGAATAAAAAATATAAGTTTGGAACTATCATAAATTAATAATTAATTTCATATTTGACTTTTTACGTAAAACGTGTCAATTGATTTGAGGATATGGCATAACAGTAAAAAGTGAAACACAATAATCTAGTAGAATAACCGTTATGTTTATTAGTTTTATTATTTGTAAAATAATTTTCTTTTATTATGTTTTAGAATATTTGATTTTACACATTTTTCTTTGTTCAATTTGTTTTTATCTCTTCTTATTTCCCTCTTTTCGATCAAACTCAGGCGACATATTAAAATATTATTTCGAAAAAATGTATTTATCGATTTGATTGCTAAACTTTATTATTACTACAACCAATCCTTTTTCATTTAGGAAAAAGAAAAGTTTACTGGGTCACATAAAATCTTCCGATATCTAAATATGTACTTTATGTTTGGTCAATAAGTATTTTAATTAACATTCCTTCCTTTTCCGCATGTTATTACAGTATAATAAATATCAATAGGTCGTCAATAAGATTGTTTTAGAAAATGATTGGACGAAGTTATAAGAAAAGAGAAAAGAAGAAAAAAAGAGAAAAATCGAGATTGCTTTGTTAACACTAAAATCATTTAATTAACTAGCTTTCGTAGATTATTTCGTCATTATTATTAAAGGTGTAAAGATTATTTAATTATTTATATAAAAATCTAAATATTATTGTTTTAGATACAACGTTTGAAGATAAAATTTTAAAACCACGTTTGAACAATAACCCTGTAAATTTAACTAGACATATTTCAAGTTGTATAGCATTTTACCCATTAATATTTAAGCGATCGGTTCAGTTTATCGGGTTATTATCAAGATTATAAATCAAAATCGTGTTTGGAAACCGGTCATTTCTCCTGGCCCTCTACACTTTTCCTGGCAAGAACTCCGGCATTATTATAAAAATAATAGCGTTTGCACGGGTAATTGAGCGGGGGTTATTGATGCTCTTATCGCCATGATGAAGGGGGTGGTCCGAGATATAAAAACTCTCGTCCCTCATTTATAAGCCGACCGTGAAAACGCAGATTCATAAATCAGGGTGACTGAGCGAGTCAGAGCTGGAGTTGAGTCAACTCGCCCTATTTCACCTCAGGTTAAAAACTCCCCTTTCTGCCCCCAGCAAACCCACATACGATGGAACCCTCAACCTACTCGACCGGGGAGTAAACATTTTTTAATAACAAAAAACATAAAGCGGTTTTTATTAGATCAAAAACACTTGGAGCTCACGAAAACAACAACATCTTTGGTTTAATTTATATGTAATTGGATTTCCTAAATGACAGGCCTATTTTATCCTTGTATTGTTTCGATTTGCAAAATATATTTAAATTACCTTTTTTAATAAAATTAAGTAATTTAATTTAGATAAAATATAATAAGATATTTTAGATAAAATTGAAATAAAAATCTGTTAAAAACCAGTTTTTTTAGCAAGTTTTGTTACGATAATGGAGTGTAAGAATAACTTTCAAACAATACAGTAAAATTATACATTATATAAATATAAAGTAAATATTTCTGTAGCAGATAATATATGTTAATATAATAATATATAAAGAATGAGTTAGTTATGGTTTCTTCATCTGTGCTGAAAAGTCGTTTATAGTACAATCATGATATATCATGATACTCTCCTACATAAAATAAACACAGAAAAATCGATATTTTATTAATTGTTGAAAAAACTAAATTTTTTATTAAATTAAACGTCTTCGTAAATTTATTACCGTGATTAAAACCTTATGAGAATTTGGAAACAGAACTACTGCGAGACAAACATGTCCCCGAAAATAACAGTAATGCCACCCTGCTTACATTTAGTTAATATTTACAAACATAATATCTTTGGCAGTAGTAATAAAGTAAAAACAATTTGTGCAATTGCGATTCAATGGCTGCCATTGTTCTGTCAAACATAAAACTGTACTGATGTAGGATCTGTCAGCGAATTAGGCTCGAATAGCATTTTAATTTAAGCCTCAGAAAGTATTTATTTACTTTTTTATTAGTGTAACCTTGTTTTCATCTGAAAATTCTGTAAAGTAAACTATTCTCAAAATTTACATTTTAATTAAATTTACATACATATTGATACCTTGTTTTTTGAAATGCAAATGGGCGTCCAATTTTTTTTTTACACGAAGCATAAATGTGTAACATTGTTAAGTGCATTTTCAACGTTAACACAAAACACAACCATACTTTTAAATGAAATTAATCATGTATATATATTTAATTGTTCACGTCAACTGTTTATTAGGCACCGAAAAATTTGCAAAAAGTATCTAAAAATAATCTGAATTAACGAAGAATACAGTTATGTTTTAATTTCTTTATTTTTTGCAATAAAAAAATTTGTCAAGCAAAGAATAGCTAGCTGTAGTTAAGTAAGGAAAGAAGTTGGCAACGGGTAAAGTAATTTGTATGTTTCAAAATCTTAAAAATCAAAATGGAAAATTGAGGGCCGTTGAGATGACTTGATTGGCTGACATTCAGGCGATATTCTTTTATTTATTTACTGATTTAGAAGAGCTGATGTTATAAATGATGGTCTCCGGGGGTGCAGAGAAGGATAAAGCACGGATTTTGCAATAATAACTGGTGTGAAACCGGGATATCTGCTGAGCCCATGCTACTCTCGCTCTTTCTTAATTATCTAGAGTTTTTGAAAGCAAATGGGGTACTTGTTGGAAAAAGAGAATCTACTTACCTAAGCCTTGTGTAACATTAGCGATTCAACCATATTTTCTCCAGCGGATAATAAACCAGATGGAAATGTAGGATCTAAAAGTGAATTTAAGCAAGTGCAAAATCGTGGTGCTTAAGAAGGGAGAAAGACGGGAAGACGTGGTCGATGGGAGGATGTAATATGGAGATGGTTTACGAATAAATCTGTCTTGGGTGAACATAACCTCACAACTCATATAAAATAATGGTTTTATAACTAAAGAGGGGCGTCGGTGGCTGAGACGTTGTAGGGTTAAAAGGGAGCACATCGTGTAAGGCCAAGATCCAGGTTATCGGTTCGAATCCAACGATCCCTCACAATTCAAAACCCACTAATTTACCAATGGGACCGCCACTCTACCCTTGGTGTGATTTAACCTCTGCGGTTGCACACCCCCATAAAATAAATAAATTATGCTAGTGTTGGTCGCAATTTGGGCGGTCATGATGCGAAATCATCGGTATTGAAGCCAACTTAAGGGCGATTCAGTCTCCAGATCAGCCTAAACTACTGTATAGCCCCTAACTGTAATCTGATGTTCTTTCGTACAGGCAAACTCCTTCACGATTACATATTAAAAGTACTAAATATGCCTGAACGCAGATATCCAAAAATAGGTGCTATAAAAATTATAGTTAAAAACTTATCGTGGTTCAAGGAAATCCCTGTTATGTCAATCAATCGTAATAATATTGATTATAACTTTAAAAAATGGAAGAGCTTCTATAGGAACAGTCAAAAATTAAATATTCACTGCCCATCAAAAGCCGTACACCCGGGTTTTGCATGAAAAAAATGACCAAATGTTAAAATGCATATTTTCTGTCTTCAGACTTGCGCTAGGTCTCATTTTTTTTATAGACAAGATGGCTTTTTAAACGTTTTCCGAGCTTCAGTCATTCATCAGTAAATTAAAAAATTCAGGAACGTTAATTTTTGCATTTTTTACGAAAATTTCAAATTGAGCTGTGGAGCCAGGAAATCGTCGTTTCAGTTTCAGATTGTTTTTTGCGTTTTCATGGAAAAAAACCGATCACTCTCTCCCCCGATTTTCAAGAACGCATAAATTTTGAAGCGACATGTTTTCGCAAATATTACGTTATAAAACTTTTGCTCCGCGTACTTTTCAAAAAGGAATAAGGAAGCGCCAATTGTTAATTTTTTTTACTTTGCTATTTTGCGACGTGGATGCTTCTGCTGTCGGAAACAACTAGTTTACCTCATGACGTAAATTCAGTTTTTCCTTCCCGTTTCACAATGTGGTGTCCAGTTGGCCTCGATGAACGTACTGAAACAATAGGTTTATAAATGGTAAAATGTGAAAGGAGAGAGATCGGTTATTTTCCATGAGCACACAAAAAAATTGAGGTTTTTTCCCCCAAATAATCGTGAATAACTCAAAAACGGTTTGAAAAATCGGGCAAAGCGGAAGAAATCCCATTAAAAGCTTATTAAAATTGCCTATCGATTGCTGTAGGGCTCCGCTCCAGGGATGTCCTGCCTCCACAGCTCAATTTGACTCTTTCGTAAAAAGTACAAAAATTCACATGTTCCAGAAGTTTTGAATTTTCTGATGAATGGCTGAAGCTAGGAATACATTTCAAAAAAACAATTTTGTTCATCGAAAATTTGTTAAAAATTGAGACCTACCGCAGGTCTGTGTCTTAAAAGATTTAGAAAATCTCCATTTTAAAATTTGGTCAATTTGGTCACACCAGGTTCTTTTTTTGTGTGTGTGTGTGTGAAAAATACCCACAAAACGCCCAATTACTCGCAATGGACACTAACGATAAGAAGCCAAATTTCAGAAACTTAAGTGACAACTATAGGAGAAGACAGCTATGCGGTTACCATTATGCAACTGTCAATACGAGGAAGAAGATTTATTTTTCTTTCTAATGGCCTGTATTACATTTTCCAACATAAGAATGGTTCATGTTCTCCTGCCCAGCAAGAATGTTCATTATGTTAGATAACATATATGATGAAAAGATGCAAATAGAAAAATCCTTCTGCAGTTCTGTAAAGCGATCTACGATCTAAGGGCGTGAATTGTATAAGGCCATTTCATATTGTAGCACAGTTTATAAAAAAGAAAAATACGAAATAAGCAATCCGCAAATAGAGAAAATAAATTGTATTTGTTTAGTAATTTCGAAATTGCAGATGTTCTCATCAAAGTGATCTCAACCGTACGAACAATTCTTGTTTTCCATTTCTGATTTCTCGTGCTGGAACTGAATTTGTTTGACACCGAAACAGGCTCCAATTGTTCTAAGAAATCCAGCTTTGATGTGGGAAATTCCCCGAGGGCAGAGTAGAAAGGCATTAGAGATGCAAATGGTAAACTCGGTTTTGTTCTCTACCGAGAAAATAATCGTAGAGCAAAAGGAAACAGCCTTTGTAAGCACATTAAACCTGTTAACCGTTAAAACCGCAACCACATAATCTAACAATAAAAGAGTAGGCTACATGTTGCAAACGGTAGTAGATATACAATTTGACTATCATAAATTGGAGATTTATTTATATTTGTCAGGAAAGAAAGCGTCTTTAAACTTGATAGCACTGGCAAAATGTAAGAATAAAAGTTTTGTCTATCTATTCCCATGAATTCAGGTATTAAATATTTTATCGTTGCAATTCGTAATATTGGACTTTACAAGAGAGTCCTATAGCCACTACAAAGTTGTCTTACTTCCTCTCTCGTGCTTTACCTATTTTACAAAAAAGGGGGTTTTACTTCTACTAACAAAATTCGCTAACAATTTAAAAAAATCATTCCAGTCCTATTTTTCATTGGACTTGTTTCGTAAAACTTGTAATCAAATTATATGGTAGTTTTAATACGAAAACTGCCGAGTGGGAAAATAATAACGAATATTTAGCGATCCTTGCAGCTAGAGATAAACGTTATGAAGAGAGACACTTTCGTATAGAAAAGTTGGAGACATGTAGGTACTATGTAATTACAATTTATGCTAGACTATAACTTGTATATTAAAATCATATACATCCATTCGCTCTCGTTATTTGTAGCCATGGGGGAAATTTACTTTTAAATACATTTAAAAATACAAAAGCTAGGCTGAAATTTATCACATATATTATGTAAATAAATATTGAAGTGTAAACAATAGAGTTTCACATATTATACTACGTATTTGTTAAGTATTAATATAAATTGTGTATTTTTGCCTCTGGCGACAAGTAAACACTTAAATTTTTTTATAAATCCACTTTTATTCAAGATCTGGCTCAGCGATTACTCTGATGGCATTCAAAGACGGCCACTTCTTAACTTTTAAAGCAAGGCCCGACTTTTTTTGTAAAGTTTACCAGATACTTGTGAGGAAGTTGAAGCTCGAAAGATTCACAAGGATATTCCAAGGTTTCGATTGAAATGTTAGATCGATTTATATCCTTGACAAACATTCAGACAAAATGATAAATTTTGATACCTGGGACAGAACATGTTTTAAATTATTTTCTCTCTCCAGGTTGACAAAAATATAAAGTTGTTGCCGTGTTTGTTCAACGACGTACCATACGAATAATAATTGAAATGGTTATTAGGCAGTTCAGACTTCCCGAGTAGGGATATATTTACGACAAAAGCAAAGAAAAAATAATTGAATTATTGCAAATTATCTAATAACAAAAATATATAGTACTTTTTGAAATTAGATCTGAACAAGTATTTATTTATTCTTGTTTTAGTTTAACAGGGGAGAGAATCCTCCAGAATTTTCTAGTTAAAGTTTAGGGAGGCATGTCAGTCAGCAATGAACAATATTCCATTCAAACTCTAGATAGTGAGGATGTGGAAATGGCCCCAAGACTAGGAATGGGTTAGGTGCTGATATGTGTGAAAATCACCTAAGAATTATAATTCAAAAAATCTTAGTCATATGTCACTCCATTTCAGGCTGAGTCTCTTGAACTCTATGCCAATGAAATGGAAAGGCTGGGTATTACCAATTAAGTGGGTATTAGCCTCGCTCGTAAGTAAACTTTAGTAATGTCCAGAGAGTTTGTATTGCATTAAAGCATGTCAGATATTAGGGGGAAAAATTACCTTTGTTTAGGTACGACCGCTTACAGGTCTATTGTGACATACCAAATTGCCAAAAGCATTGGTCTATCGAAGTTAAAGAATAAGTCCCCGGTTCATGGAATCTTATTCCAGTACAGAGGCAGGTGAAAAAGTGGATTATATGATATTTGCTAAAACTAACGGCAGAACTACTAAACATACGAGGTTGTTAGTACGAGTGAAAGCAGTATTGCTGACTGGACATTGTAGACACATGTATAGACTCAAATCAGTACAAACAAGCCTGTGCAGATACTGACAGGAACAAGAAGAAAAAAGGGAACTTGATTGTCGTTGGTGCGAAAGCCTCAACAGATCACTACTTTTGGGAAAAAAGCCAAGACCTGACTAATATAACAGGAGAAATAAAGCTCTAGAGCCCTGTCAGAAATTGGGTTAAACCACAAAATCACCCTTGTTTGCGCACTAGAACATTCAAGAGTGGCAATGAGGCAATAAATTGGCCAAGGAAAGTTCGATGAGGAAAACTATTGGCTCCGAACCCTTATACGGCATACGTGATCCATTACTTATTGGATTAAGAATAAGTCAAGTTCAATGGAAATTTATTCGGGGACATAAGCGATAAATTCATTAAAGGAACATCGCAAAAACTAACTACCGTACTAATAAACCAAGGACATGTTTGTACCACAATAATAGTAGGACTGCTGGCTAGACACTGCAAGGTCCAGGCTTGGCGGTGCTGCGCAAAAACCTTGTGCCTATATTGACCGAAATAAGAAGAAACTGCGGATCAGGAGATTAGCAAGTTCTAAATTTCTCTATAGGAATACATGGTTAGTCATTGTTAAGTGCTTGTCGGTGGCGTCCCTTTGGTTGCCTTTACCGTAGGCATAGCACCCGACCGTTTCGACGCTAGCGGAGCCCCTACACCCAGGGAGATAGAGTTGTCTTCTCTATCTAGGGAGTGCGTTGGGAGACTGGCTGATGCATGCCGGCTACTATTTAGGTAGCCCTTTGGGCGCGGCAGTGGTTGAGCCCACAAGGTTAACCCACCCCCTCGGAAGGGGCGAGCGGGAGAAGTCAGCAAGTCTTCCGATTAGTCTGTGAATTTGTGAGCTTCAAAACCGAACCTCGCGGAAGAAGCAGATTTTCCCCGCGCGGAGGTGTATCACTCCTAAATCGAGAATCCAAACATGTGATAAGGCCTAATCGGCCAGGTGCACACGCTAAAGAACCTCAATGTTATATGACATTGCGACCCCCAGTGGGAACCATATATATAAGGATACGTATAACATGCCCCTTAACAAAAATGTAGTAAATGTGGTAACAGCTTTAAGCTTATCGAAGAGCTCTAGGCAATTATGGACAATATAGGGTGGGCGAGGTGAAAGAAGACGGTTCTTGTAACCTAAGTCGGAAACCACATATTCATCAATTGTGAAATTGGGAGAACGACAATCAAAAAGTAATTCCGGTATGCTATTCAATTCCCATTTTTAAACATAAACTACTAGAAAATTACAATCAATGCTGCAGGCCGTTTTTCACAGTTCTTGAACTCACTTTGAGCCCTGAAGATGATTTCAATAAAGATAGAAACGTTGGCCCGATAAAGAAAATGTTTTTCTAAAACCTACGTCACAACAGACCGCACCTCACGATCTCCAAATAATCAAAGACTAACGGTCACTAATCACCACACAATTCTTCTTAAAAAAATAATATTTATTTTTGTTGAACAAAAAACTTTGCTTGTTTTAATATTTAATCAATTTAAAAATCCGGTTATTAGAGGGCACTCTTAACACGACACACAAGAATGACACATCTACACGGAAAACAAACACTTTGAGCCCTGAAGATGATTTCAATAAAGATAGAAACGTTGGCCCGATAAAGAAAATGTTTTTCTGAAACCTACATCACACCAGACCGCATCTCTGACGATTTCTGAATAATTATCGATTAACGGTCACTAATCACCACACATTTAAGAAGAAAGTTGTTTTAGAATGTAATTATAATATATTATACAAGAATATGACTATATACTCTCGGGTTGTCAGACTAGCAAAAAATGTAGTTTATACTATATAAGTGAAATTTATTGAAATACGGACTGAGAGATCAAAGCATTTGTGGCGGAATAGATAGAACCAGAATAGCGAGAAGGTTTTTGTGCCTCATAAAAGTTCAATATAGCGATGTAGATCCTACAAAAC